AATAATGTTACAGATAGAACACAAGCCCAGATCAGCTAATTACTGATCCATCACTTGCTCCATTAACAGTTTTATCTGTTTGTCGAATGACAAAGTGATCAACAATTTTAACGGTATTTAACGGATCCAGTTGAGCGGCAGCTGCACTCCACTTGTTAGGAAACTTTCTAAGGTGGCTCATTTGTTGTGGCTGTCTTGGCTCCCTATCCCATTCAGGGTCTAGCTTCCACTCTTTCGGGACCTGCATGTTTTAATTACTTTTAAACTCTTAAAAGTCCCAAATACGGCACTTGAAATTGAACACGCATCACATTCTTACATTATCAACTGCAAGAGTGTGGACTTCAAGATCACCGGCCGTCACTTTTGATGTGGAATAGGGTGAATGACTTGTAATTAGCAATTCGGAGGGAGGAGAAGGCTTCATCAAAGTGTATGCGAAGCCAGTTAATGCAGATAAATAAGTAACTTCCAAATACTAAAGAAACTACAGGAGTTGAGAACACCCAGAAATAAAGGAAGACAGAAGCATAATAGATTATGGCACCCGCTCTAGATAGTGATTCCATCCCATTCTTGCATATATGTTTCGGGTGACAGCCATAACCTGATAAGATTTCTTCATCGTCAGAATGCAACAAAGAAGAGTAAAAAATAAGTTTGCAAAAGAGCTTTCCATAGCTCTGGAACGTCAAATGCAGACATGAAATACTTGATGCATGCTGGATAAAGGCCAAAAGTCCATTGTATCCCAATGTCATATGGCTATCTTTTTAGGCAATTCTCAACAGAAACAAAAATGATTGAATTATCTGAAAGTTAAAATAATAGATGAACAAATATAACAGGCAAGGACAGAATAACTGCCAAGATCATAAATCACATTAGTATACAGGATGAGAAAGGTGTGCTTCTTCTCTGTTCATGTAGGTCTTGAAAATGGTAAACAAGAGACTTAAAGCTGACCTGAAGTTCCCAGTAGTTTATGCTGGATACACATCTCAACACCCAGTTCCAACAGTACGTAACATAAGAATCAGTGCTGCAGCCAGGTGTGCAGACACATGAAGAACTCCAATTAATCATCAATCGTTTCTTCGGGGACCAACACAATTGCTACAATTAGCAATACCACAGCACCTGCTACAGATACATAAGACTGCCCCAGCATGTATCTGTAGCAGAACCAAGAGTTGAGAGGAAATAAATAAAGAAGTGAACTTTCTATAGACACCCTGACAGACAATGAAATTACAAAACTTCAAAACCGAAACTTGCCCTGCTTGAATCTTCAAATGAAGGATAAGCAGCTTTGCTCTCATTAGAAGCTCCATAAAATTTCTTAAAATTACTGAAGGTGTGGGTGGGATGTACAAAATCCCCACCACAACCATTTACAAGTAAATGTTGCACATGATCGGTCCTCCGTTTTAACAAATGAATGACGCATATAATATTAACAAAAGGCAGCCCAGTACAGCCGACCGGCTATACTATTTTTAAAACAAAAAAAAAAAACAACCGATTATAGCCCCTTTGGCCCACGAAATACGTATAGCCGCACGGCTATACTATTTTTAAAAAGCGAGTATCGCCGTCCGGCTATACTTTTTTTGCAAAAAAAATTAAAACCGAGTATAGCCGTGCGGCTATACTATTTATACGCATACGAAAAGACCCCCTGCGATTAGGTGCTCACGTGTCAAAATAAGTACAGCCGCCGGCTATACTATTTTTTAAAAATTTGGAAAAAAAAAGTGAGTACAGCCGGCCGGCTATACTATGTTTGAAAAAACAAAATCAGAAAAATAATTTCTTTTTATTAAAAAAGGGACCACTTTACAACTTATAAGTTATTCTCTATACAATATTTTAATATATATTATTTTTATTCAATAATATGTGAGAATTATTTGTATAATACGTTAATTCTATGTGTCTTATTGTAACTTTTGTTAAAAATACGTGTATTAAACATGAAAAATACATGCATACATGTACACTATTAAACGTGAAAGTGCTAAATTCTTTGTTCAGGTAATTACTCTGGGTGTCTTAAACTACTCTTATCGATAATCGGAGAAAAATATTTAAAAGAAAAAAAGGATCCCATTAAATTACTTATTTTCGTTTGGGTGTCTTAATTAAATTTATCCAGATCCCAAGAGCCCCAAGGCACAAGGCCCTAGTCTTTGATTAATATAATTATTATTAATCAAAGTCGAGCCTACAGCCCAGCCCATTAGCCCAACTTTCCAATGTTAACCACACTTACCAAACCATCTTAATGCTTTATTTGTAAATACCTTTATAGGAGTGTGGATTTTCTATGTGGAATTTTTACCAAAAAGGGCACCTCAAAAGATAAGCCTACATATAAATCCTTATTTTTATTGTTGATGCAATGTGGAAATATATTTAAACAATATAGTCATGCAACTATACTCTAAAAATTGAAAAATTGAATTACTATTTATTGAGTAATATAACTCATCAAGTTAATTAAAATATTTAATACTAATTATTCACTAAAGAAATAATAAATAAAATAAGACAAAGATAATATTTATTAATAAAAATAAAATTTTAAAAAATTAATTAACCTAAACATACTAAGTTTATATTTATTTAATTTTTTAAAAATCTGTTCCAATGAAAGTTCGTCGGCAAATTTCTATCCCGGTGAAATTTGCCAGATTAGACATTTCCAGACAAAACTTCATGGATAGAAGTAACTTTCGTCAGGAGATGTCTAATTCGGCAAAACTTTGCCGGCATAGATCTCTGCCGACAATAGTTCGTTGGGAGAGGTTTTTTATTTTCTTAAAAAGAAAAGGGAAATGACCTCCAATACCACCCATTTGCTAATTTTAACTAAAAATACCACCCATTCTCAATTTTTTTACAACTAACACCTTTAAATATAAAATTATTGTCCACTTATTGTACCCATATCAATTTTTCAGAAATTGGCTTCTCTCTCTCGCTCTCTTCGCTCTATCTCTTCGGCCCGTCTCTCCCTGGTGTACCTCTCTCTCTTCGACGCAATGCTCGTTCTCCGTCAACAGTGGCTGTTCATCCAAGCGTAACTCCATCGTTGACATCCACGAGTTCATAAC